ACTATCACTCTAGATATAATGACAGGGTACATGTTCTGGAATAACGTCCATCATGTTGTAGAGTCAATAGGAATCGGATGCCATACACTATATGGTGAGGGTAACGCTGAAGGAAGTAAAATAAATTCAATGCTACGTGATCAATCATATAGTCTACGAGGACCTAGGAATGAGTTGTTCAGGAGGTTAATGCCATGGTACCCAGTACTTGTGGGTGGTGGTGATCATCTCGCAAAGGTGCAGGTATAAAACCTTTCCTCGCGCGGTCGTTTATATAGTTGCCAGATGTTGGCGGGTGGCCGAATCTACCTGTCACTTTCGTCACATCGGAACCGAAACCTACTTGCGACTCCGAATGGCTATTTTCATTGCACGTGTTCCTGCAATAACAATTTCGAACGGTACACAAGTGGTACATGTTCAAGAGCATAATAAAAATTTTCTTTTTTCAGGAAACTTGTTCCTCGGGAATATGAACTAAAAATATTCCTGCCCTCCCTCGTCGTTCATTATGGAATTGCATTGGCATTTTATCGTCATTACAATAGGGCGACCGATAGAAGCATTTTGAAAAATGAAGAATGATGATTGACGAAGGAAGTAGACTGATTTGAATACTTGAAAGCCCTCCCTCGCTCGTCATTCGCTATGTCATGCATTTCATCGCTCTGTTTTGTTTACTTTCATGGACCACTTGCAGCGAAGCCACCCCACCCACGCCTGCTCCTTCAAAAAAATGCGAGCGTTTGCCGTTCCCTATTTTTCGGTCCAGCAGGAGATTCGCCGAAAGTCATGCCTAGCTTCGCTACAAGTGGTCAATGAACGTAAAGAAAGCAGGGCGATAAAATGCTTGAGATAACGAATGACGTTGCGAAGGTGGGCTTTCAAGTATACATCAGCCTACTTCCTTCGCCAATCGTCATTCTTCATTTTTTTAAATGTTTCTATCGTTCGCTCCAGCGATGCTGCGAAAAATCTCTGGTGGGAGTGAGAGAAACGTATCCTCTCTTTCATACCGTATATCTCTGTCTGCGTCTCGCTCGGCCGTGCCGGACGAACCTCTCCTTCATTCCGTCCGGCGTTTCGAGCCTGCGCAGATGACCTATTCGCTCTGCGGGCCACTGGGCCCCTTTAAAACACCCGACTTTTACACGCTTTTTCCTATACCTTCTCAACTTAACGTTTCGGCCCCGGGCGTTGTCCCTTCGTCGACCCTCAGTTTGACGCCGCTTGGCATTTTTATATGCTTTGCTGCTTTCACCAACCAGTCTGCCGTGAATGTTGTCTTGCATGTCACTGTTATGCCCCCGTTTCCTTTGTGGAATTCCTCGAATCTTAGGTGTGGGATCTGAGCCCCTTTCGCTGTCCTTGCTTCCATGTATCGTCCTGCTCATGTTGCCAGTGCGTCCCTGAAGTCCTCGCATTCTGCGGGCGTCAGCCTGGTCTCCGGGTAGTCCTCTGGTACGATTGTTCTTCGATAGTTCGGGACTCTTCTTGTTCTCTGGTGTTGTTAGCTCATGGTTGCCGGTCTTCACGCTTGTCTCGGGGGGTCTACTGTTTCCTTCCTGCAGCTCGTTTCCCGTATTTATAGCCGTTCTCGGGGCCCGGTCCCCCCCTGTCTCTTTCTTCATTGCTCGTGCTGTGTTCCGGGGCGTGGTTGTTCCGTCTTGCTTGTTCTTGGGTCGTTTCCTGGTTCGTTCTCGTTTTTGTGCGCTTCTCTCCCTATGCGAGTCGCGTCCGTTTTTGTATCGCGCCATTATGGCTTCTAGTCTTGTTCTTTTCTCTGATTGTTGTTCTGTTCGTTCTACGGCCGTTGGTTTCTGTCGTCTAGGTTTCCGTAGTTCAGGCGTCTCCTTGTGCTTGGTGCCTGTGTGTCTGTTTTCGTTGTGTGTCGCGTTGTTGTCGTGTTTCGGGTGTTTGACGTTGTTTCTCGGTTCCTCTTTTCGGGGGGTGGTGGCCTTGCTTTCTCTTCCTTCCCCGTGGGCTTTTGGTCTGTTTTGTCGGGCGTTCACCTTTGTCGGGCGTTCTAGTTTTGGGTGTTCTCCCGGTTTTCGGGTCGTTTTCTCGCGTTTGTCCGGTGGTCTGTTTGCCTTCCTTTGCCGTGGCTGTGCCCGTTCCTGGTTGGTCGGTTTCGTTTTTTCTGTCCTTCGTTTCGCGAGTCCGGCGGTCGGTCAGTTTGTGTTTGTGTGGGTGTGTTCGGATTGGCGTGCGGGCCGGTGTGTGTGCGGTAAAGGGTCGAGCTTGCGGTGGTTATCTCCGTTTTAGTTCGGGTATGTCGCGTCTGCTGTTTTGATCGTACGTGTCTTTTGCGCCTCGTTTGTTGTCGGCGTTTTCTGTTTCTCTTATTCCGTTTTCTTGTTTCCAGGCTTTTTGGTGCGCCTTATCTGTCGTTGCTGTTTTACCTTTGAAATGGAGCTGGACTTCAATAATCTGTTCCTTATGGTGTGTTCTTCTCTTTTTTGATCGTGTTCCGCGGGAGNGTCCTTGCTTCCATGTATCGTCCTGCTCATGTTGCCAGTGCGTCCCTGAAGTCCTCGCATTCTGCGGGCGTCAGCCTGGTCTCCGGGTAGTCCTCTGGTACGATTGTTCTTCGATAGTTCGGGACTCTTCTTGTTCTCTGGTGTTGTTAGCTCATGGTTGCCGGTCTTCACGCTTGTCTCGGGGGGTCTACTGTTTCCTTCCTGCAGCTCGTTTCCCGTATTTATAGCCGTTCTCGGGGCCCGGTCCCCCCCTGTCTCTTTCTTCATTGCTCGTGCTGTGTTCCGGGGCGTGGTTGTTCCGTCTTGCTTGTTCTTGGGTCGTTTCCTGGTTCGTTCTCGTTTTTGTGCGCTTCTCTCCCTATGCGAGTCGCGTCCGTTTTTGTATCGCGCCATTATGGCTTCTAGTCTTGTTCTTTTCTCTGATTGTTGTTCTGTTCGTTCTACGGCCGTTGGTTTCTGTCGTCTAGGTTTCCGTAGTTCAGGCGTCTCCTTGTGCTTGGTGCCTGTGTGTCTGTTTTCGTTGTGTGTCGCGTTGTTGTCGTGTTTCGGGTGTTTGACGTTGTTTCTCGGTTCCTCTTTTCGGGGGGTGGTGGCCTTGCTTTCTCTTCCTTCCCCGTGGGCTTTTGGTCTGTTTTGTCGGGCGTTCACCTTTGTCGGGCGTTCTAGTTTTGGGTGTTCTCCCGGTTTTCGGGTCGTTTTCTCGCGTTTGTCCGGTGGTCTGTTTGCCTTCCTTTGCCGTGGCTGTGCCCGTTCCTGGTTGGTCGGTTTCGTTTTTTCTGTCCTTCGTTTCGCGAGTCCGGCGGTCGGTCAGTTTGTGTTTGTGTGGGTGTGTTCGGATTGGCGTGCGGGCCGGTGTGTGTGCGGTAAAGGGTCGAGCTTGCGGTGGTTATCTCCGTTTTAGTTCGGGTATGTCGCGTCTGCTGTTTTGATCGTACGTGTCTTTTGCGCCTCGTTTGTTGTCGGCGTTTTCTGTTTCTCTTATTCCGTTTTCTTGTTTCCAGGCTTTTTGGTGCGCCTTATCTGTCGTTGCTGTTTTACCTTTGAAATGGAGCTGGACTTCAATAATCTGTTCCTTATGGTGTGTTCTTCTCTTTTTTGATCGTGTTCCGCGGGAGCCCGGGGGGGGGGGGAGGTCTGGTCTTCCTCGCGTGCCCTATTTGTGTTTTCCTGTTCCCGTTCAGATTTCTAATTGCTTGTGCTTTTTTTTTTTTTAGGGGGCCGTGGATTCGGGTGGTGTTCAGACCCTCGGGCCCACGTTCGAAGTGCGGGCTGTGATAGTGCCGGTGGGCTATCCGGCCCGCCAGCTGGATTGGGAGGACTGCGGAGTGCTGCGGTCGAGAATCAGGCATTACAACGCCCGCCGTATCAAGATGATCCCTGAGTACGAGCGCGTCAGAAACCGTATCCGGCGGACGGAGGACCGCCCGTTGCGTTTCTCGCATCGTCGTGGGGGCTTGATTATGGACGGGGCCAGTCCCATGCTCCTCGCGGGGCTGCGAGGTGTCGTTAT